ACACACCTGTAGTTCCAGCTACTTGGAAGGCTGAGGCAGAAGGATCGCCTGAGCCCAGCAGGTCAAGGCTGTGGTGGCGTGAGTATACCACTGCACTCCAACCTGGGCGACAAAGTGAGACTCCCACTCAAAAAAGAAAAGAAAAATAAATGTCTGGGAGAGTAGGAAGTACAGTACAGTAAGTACACGGGAGCTGGACGCTTATGGGATTTGATGCATGTCTGCATGGACAGCATAGGGGAGAAATGTTCATACGTATGTGTTCAGAATGCAGAACAACATCCACGATGACAAAAATATAAATGTACCCTTTTTTTTTTGAGTCGGAGTCTCACTCTGTCGCCCAGGCTGGAGTGCAATGGCACACTCACAGCTATCACAGCCTTGACTTGGTGGGCTCAGGTGATTATTCTGCCTCAGCCTTCCAAGCAGCTGCATGCCACCACAGGTGCATGCCACCATGCCCGGCTAATTTTTGACTTATTGTAGAGTCGAGGTCTTGCCAAGTTGCCCACATTGGTCTCAAACCCCTGGGTTCAGGCAATCTTCTCACCTCAGCCTCGCAAAGTGCTGAGATTACAGGCATGAGCTGCGGCCAGGCCTGAATGTACTTTTTGTAACCATATTTTAACTCATATGTCGAGCAAACAGGATATTCTATCATATATCCGCAGGGCAGAGACTGAGTATTCTTTCTTTTTTGTATCCCCAATGTCCAGCATAGAACGGAGTATTGGATGAATAAACCATATCATAGCCATTTTATTTGTGAGTTGATTATAATAGTATTTTATACTTGAAGTTTAGGGGATTGAAAGAATGCATAAGAAAATTTAGCTGAAATTGAACTCCAGTTATAATTTTGCGTGTGTGTGTGTGTGTGTGTGTGTGTGTGTTGGGAGCTGAATTTCATGTCCAAAAGTGTCTGCATAACATCAGCAAAAAAGCCCAATGTCGGTTTTTGCCTTGGCCAACTAAAACCTCACGCACCAATTCTTGCAGGATGCATTATGAGCTATGTTGAACTTCATTCTGGAAATACTGAAATAGCTTCACTAAAAAAATAAAATCTACTCAGTAAAGTTCTGAACAGAAATATGCAGAACATTGGGTTTTTGCTAAATGCTAGTTTTATGCCATGGTTCAATTGTCTTCCTTTAACATTTTTTCCAGAATATTGACAGAGTTGTGTTTGTTGGGAATTTTCTCAGAATCAATATGGTCTCCATGAAGCTGTTAGCATATGCCATGGATTTTTGGTCCAAAGGACAGCTAAAAGCTCTATTTTTGGAACATGAGGTAGGTTGAGCTTGCGTGGACTTAATCGCCCTATGTGGAGTGTACTTTGGGTTGTCTAACTTATGAGCAGGTCTCTTGGTTTTAAAATTGGTAAGTAGAAAAGTTGCCATTGATACTTTGTATTTGTACAAAGTGTGAGAAAGAACTATATATAAAATGGAAGCTCTTTTATCCAGAAATCAGGATTGGTTAGTTGGTTAATTTAAAAAGAGTCACTGAGAATATAAATTACTACAGCCATTATGGAAAACGTAGGGCGGTTTGTCAAAAAACTAAACATAGAATTACTATATGATCCAGCAATCGCACTTTTGAAGGATTGAGGATTAGGAATGAGTACATCAAAGAGATGTCTGTACACCCGTGTTCACTGCAGCATTCATTCACAATAGCGAAATTGTGGAACCAGTCTAAGGGTTTCTCAACAGATAAATGGATTTAAAAAGTGGTATATATGCACAATTATTTAGCCTTAAAAAAATAGAAATTCTGTCATTTGTGACAACACGGATGGAATTAGAAAACACACTAAGTGAAATAAACCAGGCACAGAAAGACAAATACTGCATGTTCTCGCTTCTGTGTGGAATCTAAAACCATTAAACTTGCCGGGTGTGGTGGCTCAAGCCTACAATCCCAGCACTTTGGGAAGCCGAGGCAAGAGGATTGCCTGAGCCCAGACCAGCCCGGGCAACTTGGTGAAACCTATTCTCTACAATAAATTAAAAAAATAGTCAGGTGTGGTGGTGTGCACCTGTAGTTCCAGCTATTTGGAAAGCTGAGGTGGAAGGATTGCCTGAGCCCAGCAGATCGAGGCTGTGGTGGCCGTGAGCGTGCCACTGCACTCCAGGTTGGGTGCCAGAGTGAGACTCCAACTTAAAAAAATAAAATAAAAAATAAACCATCATACTTATAGATGTAGAGAGTAGAATGGTGGTTAAAGAGACTGGAGGGGGGAAGAATAGAGAGAGAGAGAGAACGGTCAGGGGATACAAAATCTCAGGAGGAAAATATTTTCACATAATGTGGTGAATATAGTTAATAATAGTGTATTGTACATTTCAAATTTGTTGCTGGGCGTGGTGGCTCATGCCTGTAATCCCAGCACTTTGGGAGGTCAAGACGAGAGAATTGCTGGACCAGGAGTTTGAGACCAGCCTGGGCAACATGACGAGACCTTGTCTCTGCAATAAAATAAAAAAATTAGCCAGACAGGGTGACATGTGCCTGTAGTCCCAGTTACTAGAGAGGCTAAGGCAGAAGGTCGAGGCTGCGGTAGCTGTGATTACACTCCAGCCTGGGCGACAGAGGGAGACCCTGACTCAAACAACAACAACAACAAAAATTATTGAGAGTAAATTTCAGTTGTTTTAACCACAAAAAAATGGCAAGTGTTTGAGTCGATGGATATGTCAATTAGCTTGATTTTAATTACTCCACACTGTATTTATAAATCATAATATAATTTTGGATTCTATAAAAATGTTCAATTATAAATTGTCAAATTTACAATAAAATTCTAGAAAATTTGGAAAAGTCAGTTAAAATGGGTAATTATTTTTAAAATTTCCCTACTTTAACCATTTTAACTTAAAATGTGTCAATGTACATTTACTCACCAATCTTTTGAGGTAAATCAAGGTATGTTTTTGAGCCTGGTTTCTGCTGATTGGAGTGCTATAGTCTTTCTTTCATAATTGCAACATTATACCCGGCTTTGATTTCCGGTTTTCTTAAAGTGGATCAAGAAATTAAGATTTTTTTTTTTTTTTTTTTGAGTTGGAGTCTCACTCTGTCACCCAGACTGGAGTGCAGTGGCCGCTCCCGGCCACCACAACCTCGCCTGCTGGGCTCCAGCGATCCTTCCGCCTCAGCCTTCCAAGTAGCTGGAATTACAGGCATGCGCCACCACGCCCTACTGATTTTTTGATTTATTGTAGAGATGAGGTCTCGCTGCCCAGGCGGGTCTCGAACCCGCGGGCTCAGGCAACTCACTCACCTCAGCCTCCCAAAGGCGCGGGATTACAGGCTGAGCCACCGAACCCGGCCTGCATGCTTTTTTTTTTGAGTCAGAGTCTCACTCTGTTGCCCAGGCTGGAGTGCAGTGGCACACTCACGGCCACCAGCCTCTACCTGCTGGGCTCAGGCGATCCTTCCTCCTCAACCTTCCAAGTAGCTGGAACCACAGGTGCGCGCTTCCATGCCCAGCTAATTTTTTGATTTAATGTAGAGACGAGCTCTTACCAAGTTGCCCAGGTTGGTCTTGAACCTGTGGGCTCAGACAATCTTCTTGCCTCCGCCTCCCAAAGTGCTGGGATTATAGGTGTAAGCCACTCCACCCAGAAATTTTGTGCTCTTCTTATTGGTTTAGGTAGTATATAATTAAATCGGATGATTATATTAACAATCAATCTGTCATAAACAAATTTGAGGATAAACATAACTGATTCTTGGCAAGTTAACAACTTAACCAGTAAAAACAGAAGTCCTTGGCTTGCTAAGTGAAGCCTACCAGTTTTGAGAGGTCAGTGTGCCTGGCCATTACTGAACCTGTTTACAGAAGAAATAGAGAGTGTCCAGGGTCCCTTATATGGCATGTCTCCCATAATATAAACCAAAATCTGTAAGAGTGAATGGGGGCTCTCCTCTATCACCCCTTTAAAATAGCAGAGAACTACTATTTATCATGGGAGGTACCTAATTTCTTTGTCATATTGGAGCAGAAAAAAATGAGAGAGCTATAAATTTATAGTACTACAAATTTATAGTAAATACATTTCAATTGTAAGAAATAGTACTATAAATTTCAATTGTAAGAAATTAACTACTGAGCCATTTTTCTCATTTTCAAACAGAATTATTTAAGAAGTTACCAATACATTCAGCAGTTATTTCGAACTCTCTAGCCCCATATTTTATTTTATTAAAGCATATGAAATCGTAAGCACTTACATACTAAATAGTTATGGCCCAATGATAGAAATTAATACTAAATAAATCCTTTTTTTTTTTTGAAGCAGGCTTAAGGCATGGAGTTACATAGTTTTTGGGGGTAAGAGAGGATGAGCTTCCAGAACCTTCACTTCCCTCCCTCCAGACAGACCAAGCTCCCTTTTAATCTGCTTCTTTACTGGGTTTCCATGTAAGATTTTACTTCAAAAAGAAAAAAGCGTCTCAGTTTTTTAAAAATCATTAAAAAGAGAAAACAAAACTACTGTTGAAGTCCAGATAGAGTTGCCATATTTAGCAACAAAAAAATACAGGATGCTCGTTTATTTTACCTGGCATTTATATGTGTTTCTTTTTCTGTTTTTGTTTTTGAGTCAGAGTCTTAGACTGTTGCCCAGGCTGGAGTGCAGTGGCATGCTCACAGCCACCGCAGCCTCAGCCTGCTGGCCTCAGCTGATCCTTCCATCTCAGCCTTCCAAGTAGCTGGAAACACAGGCGTGCACCACCACATTTGGCTAATTTTTTTTATTTATTGTGGAGACAAGTTCTCACCAAGTTGCCCAGGCTGCTCTTGAATGTCTTGGCTGAGATAATCCTCTCATCTCTGCCCCCCAAAGTGCTGGGATTATAGGAGTGAGCCACCACACCCGGCCACATTTGTTTATATTTCATCTGGCAATATTTATTTAGGCCAGAACCTCTTGACCTAATGGAGAGAAAAAAGCTTAGAGGTTATCGGGGATAAAAAGTCATCTACAAGGTCTCATGGGTAGTTCATTGGTGGTCAGATACTGAAAAAGATCCAACAGTCTGGGGAAACCTGCCTTTGTAAGTAAAAGTGTAGTCACTTGTGTCACCCTGTACAATCCTAAACCTGGACTATGGCTTTGGTTTGTTACTATATATTGTAACTCAGTCTCCAAAGCCAGTGAAAGTGGAGCATTCTTAAAATCCCTTGAAGACAGCTCAGAAAATTCTCTATATTTTTAAGTTCACTCTGGCTTAGGCAGGCCTTACTATAGAATATTATAGAGAGAAATTTTGGGAAGCACTGATAGAGTGACTTTCTGGTCACTTGCCTTGGCCCTGGGTATTCTCATTCACTCAATTTCTTATTCATTCAACATTTCTTTCTCATTGCTGAGCGTCTCCTATGAAAAGTAGACCAGCCACGCAGTTAACTGCCTTTTTTTAATTTTAATTTTAAAGATGTGGGGTACAATTCAGGGTTAGGATTACAAATGTTCATTATGCAGGTATCCTTGTTGATGAGGCGTGCCCCTCCCTCCCCTGGCAGTTTCCCTCAATTGCCAATCCCTCCCCACCTCCCCTGAGAGTTTCCCACTACTGCCAATCCCTTTCTTAGTATTATGTTAATTGTTCAAGATCTTCTTATGAGTGAGAACATATGGTACTCTGTTCATTGTTTCTGTGATAGATTACTGAGTATGATCAACTCTAAATCCATCCAAGTTGCTGCAAAGTCCGTATGTTTGACCTTCTTTATGGCTGCATAATATTCCATTGTGTATACGTACCACATTTTTTTAATCCAGTCCAACTTTGATGGCCAGCATGGTTGGTTCCATGTTTTTGCTATCGTGAATAGAGCTGCAACACACAAGAGTGTGCAAGTATCTTTTTAGTAGAATGATTTGAGTTCCTCTGGGTATATTCCCAATAGGGTGATTGCTGGGTCATATGGAAGTTCAATTTCTAGTTCTTTCAGAAATCGCCATACTATCTTCCAAAGAGGTTTCACTAGTTTGCATTCCCATCAGCAGTGTCGAAGCGTTCCTTTTTCTCCGCATCCTCACCAGCATCTGTTAACAACTGCCTTTTTTTTTTAATGACTTTGAGGTCTTAGACAAATGACCCCACCTCTCCATCTTTGTGCTAGCATTTATAAAATGAGGCAATCCTAATATTTGTCTCATAGAGTTATGATGATGAGCAAATGAGTAAATCCATGTCAAGAGCTTAGAACAATTTCTGGCATTAGTGAGGCCTCAGTAAGTGTGAACTGATAGCAGCAGAACCAAAAATTCTTCCAAGTCCTGACACAGTCACACCTATTGCTGCAGTCACAACTGTGAAGTCAGGCAAACACTAGAGGAGCAGAGTCTTTTGGGAACAGATTGCCATGGATGGAATATCCCACCTCCTAAATGCCTGTGTTGAAATCCCAACCCCCCAAGGTGATGGTATTTAGAGGTGGGGGCCTTTGGGTAGTGAGTAGGTTATGAGAGCTGAGGCCTCATGAATAGGATTAGCACCCTTATAAAAGAGGGCCCAGAGAGACCCTTGCCCCTTCTCCATCTTATGGTCCATTCATGTGAAGCCCACAGTGAGAAGATGGCCATCTGTGAGGAATGGGTCCTCAGCAGACACCTTGACCTTGACTTTTCCAGCCTCCAGAACTGTGAGAAATGTTCTATGGTTGATAAGCCACCTGGTCTTTGGTACTTGGTAATATATAGCAGCCTGGACAATTTTCTCTAAAAATGCCTGGGTTTTAGTTCATCACAGAAACATAGGTTTTTATTTTACAGATGGGCAAAGTGAGGCTTAGGTGGATTTAAGTGCCTTTCCAAGAGCTACTTGTGGGGTTTTCTCCCATGAGATACAGCTTTGAAGTCAGAGAGATTTGCATCCCTGTTGCAAGTCATGTGACTCTACAAAGGGTAATTTACTGTATTTCCTTCCATTGCTCATTTGTGAAATAATAATGTGAATAAAAATAAATAGTTATAATGCTAACAATACCCTGCACTGACTTAGCACACACCATAGACAGACACTGTCTTTAGTACTTTATGTATGATAACTTATTTAATATATGAGGGGCAGCCCCCAAAGAAACTGGAATTATCTTTTGGAGGGTGGTTTCCATATAGTACAGACTTTCCCCACTAGATAAGTGTTCTAGGAACCACTGGCATCAGTGTATCGGTTAGCCTTGATGTGAGAGGCTGCATTTGACTTCAGTGAATTTGTTTTGGAGATTCTTTCATCGTGTTTATCCATTCAACATGTTTACCCATTTTATCGTGCATGGTGATTTACGAGCATCCCTGCCCACACCATGCTGAATGTTCAGCAGTTTTGACCAAAAACAGCATGACTCTTATGTCCCACCCTCTCTGTTCACCTGATCTTGCCCTGAGTGACTTATTTTTGTTTCCCTGGATGAAAAAAGTCCTCAAAGGGAAACATTTTGACGATATGGAAGCTGTGAAACAAAAATCGGCAGAAGTACTAAAAAGCATCCCCATTGACAAGTTCAAACACTGTTTTGAGAAGTGGAAAAAGCATCTCAATAGGTGTGTTACATCAAACAGAGAGGATTTTGAAGGTGACTGACGTTTAAACATGTAAGAATACATACACAGTTTTTTTTTATAAATCTGAGTTTTGGGGGGGGCCCCCATACATAAAGAAGTAGTTATCCAGTAAATTATAGTTGTTGTTGAAATTCTTATTTTGCTGTGCTTCATGTACAGAATTCAGGTTGTAAATGTCTCTTTTAGCTGGGTGCAGTGGCTCACTCCTGTAATTCCAGCAATTTAGGAGCTTGAGGTAGGAAAACCTCTTAAGGCCAGGAGTTCGAGACCAGCCTGGACAACATAGTGAGACCTCATCTCTACAAAAATTTAAAAATTAGCTGGGGGCGTGGTGGCATGTGCTTGTAGTTCCAGCTACTTGGGAGGCTGAGGTAGAAGGATCATGAAAACCCAGGAGGTTGAGGCTGCAGTGCTACTGCCCTCCCAGCCTAGGCAATAGAGTGAGACTCCAACTCAAAATAAAAAAAATAAGTTTCTTGTTGTCTACCACATTAAGGGAATGGCATTCCTAGAATTATTAAAAACAATAGGTATTTGGATAAGGTTCAGAGGTGATTGTACAGACTTTTTTTTTTTTTTTTTTTTTTTGAGTTGGAGTCCCACTCCGTCGCCCAGACTAGAGTGCAGTGGCACACTCCCGGCTACCACACCCGGCTAGTTTTTGATTTATTGTAGAGATGAGGTCTCGCCAAGTTGCCTGGGCGGGTCTCGAACCTGCAGGCTCAGGCAATCCACTCACCTTGACCTCCCAAAGCGCTGGGATTACCAGCTGAGCCACCAAACCCGGCCTATTGTACAGACTTTTGCATTGTTTTTGTAGGGTTATTTTGGAGCTGTTGGGGCACTGCTGGAACTCTTCAAAATGACTGATGACCAGTAGAGGTGAGCAGTTGAGGGAGCAGCCTCCTAAGAGGACAGAGGACTGAAAACTGCTGCTGGAGAAGGTGACGTTTGCTGTGGGACAGAAGCCAAGCCATTATGACAGATGAAACTGCTGGATTTGTAGATAATTTAAAATCCTTCTAACTGATCTTTTACTCTTAGGTTTCGAGCTAATGATTCAAAATGGGGAATATAAGAGTTTTTTCTGTATACTGTATTTTTTTAAAAAAAAAGTTTGTGCAGCGTGGCCAAACATACCAATTTTATGCATTAACTTGGAAAAGTTTTATGATGTTTAAGAAGGACCTGATATGTAAGCGCTGTTCATTTTTCTTCTGGGGTTTACTGATCAGTGTGGTGATTTTAACTTCATTTAGTAATTACTCTAGGAGATTTTACCTTTACTTATATTTTTCATGACGTTTCATGATTTGCTGTTGGTTTCAAATGAAACTACGAATCTGGCTTGTTTTACTGTGAACACTTTTTTTGTTTGTTTGTTTACCCTTTTTTGGTCTTGTTTTTCTGTTTGAATGTCTTATGGAAAAAGAGAGTCTTTCCCTCTGTTTTCTGTCATTGGGTGATCTCTCTCCCTGCGCCTGTAACCTTTCCTTGACAGAATTGTTCGTATCAATCAAGGTGCTGGCCAGCTCAATACAAAGTTAAGCACAAGATGTAAAGCTCACAAAAATGCCCATGCAGAGAAGACTCTGAAGGTGTTAATGAATTTAAAGAGTCTGGCAGAAGTTGCAAATTATGTGCAATTTTGTCTCATCCCCTATAGATATAGTGTTTCATTGGATTTATTTTATGTGAGGTTCTATTAAATTCAAATAGTCTATGATGAAATGTCCTCATCCAGGCACAGCATATGAATGGCAGCAAATCCTTGTGTAAGAAGTTTGGAACTTACTGGGGAAGGTCTCCCAGTGGATTAAATGTTCACATCAGGAGATTTAGGGTAAGTTGTGGGTTGAGGTGTCAGGTAGTAATATCTATCTGTTTTGTCTGTGTATGTATCTAGGAGCTTTGTAACAGACATTTTAAATAATAATGTTAAAGTTTTTTTCATTTTTAATATTTTAAACTGAGAACTGTACACTTTGATCCCAGTTTCTAAAATTAAAAAAATAATTTATGATACTGATCTCTATATTTTTCTTTTTGAAAGAAGAATCCATTTAGACCGATGGGTAACTTTCCAATGAGGGTCATGTACAAACACTGGAACGCATGAGATCCATTGACCTTGTGGATTGAGCGTTGTTGTTGAAAGGGATTTTTGAAGGATGGTAAAATTGGTCCATGGTGAATCTTCCCGTCCACCTCTGAGCACCACTTTTAATTTCCATATCGTCAAGTCTTGAAGAAGTTGATGCTAATCGAAGAATTCACTTGTCTGGTTGAAATAAAGCCTGTTTCTGTTGTGATGTTTTTAGTGTATATGTTATTTTCATTTCTTAATACTCGTGTTTATAGTATCTGCTTTGTACCATGAAATGACTATGTGTTGTGTCTTCACTACTCTCCGTTTCAAAATTTGAGCCTTTCCCATGAGTACGGTAGGGTCCGAAACTGCAGACCTATGCAGCGATTTTTGTTGTGTTTTGTTTTGTTTTTTAGCTTTATTATTTTTATGCAGCTGATTCCTTAATGCCAACTATCACTGCTATATTTGGCAATTCTGAAGGAGTTTTAAAATCTGGTCCTCACAAATAATTTCACCAATTTCTGTCTGGCTTTAAAAAGTTCAAGCAACTAAGGTGTTCTTAAAAAGGATAAGTAAAAAATCTATGTATTTTTTCTGATGAGTGCCTTTTGATGGTCTTTTCTGCCATCTGAGTCCCATCTGTCAGGGAACAGCAGACCTTGGTTCTGCAGATCACGGTTCTACAAAAGAAATCAGGGCAAATTGCTTTTTATATAATAAAAAAATATATTTTTAATTACCTGAAATAACTTGATCTCTCATTACAAACATTTAAAAGTAAGTTTTGCTGAGAAAATAAATTATTCCACTATGTACATATCAGTTTAGTGTTGGCTACACAGAGGCAGCCTGTTTTAAAGTAAACGCTTCATTAATGTTAGCTGTAATAAAAAATATGTTTAAAAATAATATATTAAAACAGTAATTCTTAACCTTGAATGTAGGGCACAATATTATCATGATCATATTTCACCAAATTCCATATGCTAGTACGTATTCACAACTTGTCCACAATTCCAAAATCCTATACTCCTAAAATCTATCTTGACAACTCACTTGGCAGCAAAAGCTGACTTGAGCATTATTTATCCCACGTAGTAGGACTTTTCACATGTTTTGTTGCTGAGCTATTTGTGTGTTTGATAACAGGATACCGACTCTGCCAGGGGCGTTAAGTAATAAACCATTCGGATTTTTTTTTTTTTTTTGAGTTGGAGTCTCACTCTGTCACCCAGATTGGAGTGCAGTGGCATGCTCACGGCCACCACAGCCTCGATCTGCTGGCCTCAGGCAATCCTTCCACCTCAACCTTCCAAGTAGCTGAAATTACAGGTGCACACCACCATGCCTGGTTAATTTTTATTTTATGTTATTGTAGAGACGAGGTCTCGCCAAGTTGCCTAGGCTGGTCTCAAACTCATGGCCTCAGGCGATCCTCTCACCTGCGCCTCCCAAAGTGCTGGAATGAAAGACGTGAGCCCCCGCACCCAGCAACACTTCTGAATTTTGAAACTCCTCTGGTCCTAAGAGCTTTAGATAAAGGGATCTTCAAAATATAGTTGTGTTCTTTAGCTTATGCTGTACACATGGATAGAGTCCCTTTTTTGGGAACTGTTGTTTTAGGTAATTTTTACTTGATATCATTCTGTCATAGAAGGAACACCACTAAGAAGTTACTCTGTGCCGGGAAGGAGCTGGAGGTTGCAGAGGTCCTCAAACTTTTAAAACAGGGGGCCAGTTCACTGTCCCTCAGACCGCAATGGCCCCCTGTTTTAAAAGTTTGAGGACCCTTCAGGCATAGGACACAGCCCCTGCTGTCCAGCAGAGGGCAACAGCGAAGTTCAAGTCAACATGTGTCACAAAGCACCACAAGTTCCATCCATTCATTCATTCATTCACATTCACAGCAGTAAACAAAACAGTGATGCACCATCACAGAGCTTCCCTTAGAAGGGCAGACAGATGCATTGCTAAATACAAGACATATACTATGAGATCAGTACTACAAAGAAAAAGTAAGCCAGAGAAGTGTAGTTGTGTTTGGAAAAATGAGAAGGGAAAGAATTTCTCTGGTTAGGATGGCCAAAGACAATCTCTCCTAGGAAGTAATCTTTGAGCAGAGAGTTGAATGAAGTTGCAAACACACTGTGAAGTAACCTGGAAGAATAGTTTTACTCCTGGCAAATGAGAATGGAGGTTCTGAGGAATGCAAAGAAGCCAGCATCTGGATTAAAAAACAGAAAAGGTGATGGGAAACGCAGTTTTAGGAGGAACTATGAACCAGGTCCTATGAGAAATGTGTAAGTGAGGGGGGAATACTGCACCTGGAGGAAGAGGACTTGCCATCTCTCCTCAGGAAGGTGCTAGAAAAAGTTTCATGGAGTCTTAGCCAATGAGTAGGGGCCACCAAGTAGACCAGAAGGGGAGGGCTTCCCAAGCAGAGGGAGCTGGATGAGCAGAAGCACTGAGGCAAGAAACCTCCTTGCTTATTCGGGTAACTGGAAGCCCTTTGCTTCAGCTAGAACATGGTTCATGAGAGAGAAACCAGATACTGAGAAAGGTAAGCCAGCCCGACTTTGGACTCATCTTCCATGTTAAAGTTGTGGACTTCTCTGTAGTCCATGGGGGGCCATCCAAGAGTTTTGAGGACAGTGAAACTAGAAATAATATGGCTTCAAAGTGACAGAGAAAACATCCCTGTAAACGAAAATAAAGAAGTTATTGTGCTTCTGAAGACATAATACTATTCCACCATCGTGTTGATTTATCTGTTGTGCCATGCCTCACGTAGTAACTGCATAGTGGACCACGCTTTTTCTGTAACACAAATGGTTATAAAAACTTTTGAGAGTTTCCTCAGGGGACACAGGCTACTAACAGTTATACATCTACTATGAATCTATTCAGTGAGTAGGAAGATTTCAACACCAAGGAGCACTATAAACTCTATCACTTGCAAGAAATGTTAGAGAGAAAGCAATTTTCCTCCTAGTAATCAGAAGATGGTCCCCAATTCGTGAGGGATATTTAATGCTCATTGTTTACTGGGTCTACCAGCTGCCCATCCATTCACTCTTTCTCTGTTTAATTTATGCTGAGTTATCTATGACTTGAGGGGCCTTGGATGACATTCAGGATGCATTCCATTGTGAATGGAACAGAGATCCTGCTTTCATTGTACTTGCATTCTGGGGAGGGCGATAGGCGTGGAGTATATGTCAATAAATAAACAAGAAAATATTCGGGGGTGGCTAAGTGCCATCATAGGAAAGAAATAAGGTGATATGGTAGAGAGGAAAGAGAGGGACTTCCTTAGTCAGGTGATCATGGGATGCGAGTATGGTTAAGTCATGGCCTCCACTTTTGAGGAATAACAGATTTACCTTTCTTGCCACCTCCTCAATGGACATGAAAGATGTCTTGAGGAAAAAGTTTGATAGCTAACTTGTTTTCTTTTACTTAGAATATTTAATTTAGTTTATATATGTATTTAAAATTAAATATATCAAATAGTATATTAACTTAATAATGCTCCTTTTAAACTGCTCATTTTATGAAATAATATTATTTGAACTGTTTACTTGAACCTTCATTGTTAATGCCTTTGTCATGACCAGAATCATTTACTAGTTTCCAGAGCTCAGTTTGAGATCCAGTGCTTTTTGAATCTGTCTATGATAAATTGACCGTTGATCTTAAAAAAATCCAGACACAGAACCTAGTCCTATAATGAGCTCAATTATTTCATTTTCCAAAAGGTGTCTACTGGTGACCACAGTGTAACCATTTATGTAGAGCCTTTTAAAGTCAACTTCCAAAGACTAGTTTACAAGTATTCATCATTTGCAATACTAAAATAAAAAGAAATTTTCTACTAAATGTCTTTGCCTCTTTTTTTTACTCACTCCATCAGGTAAACACTAAATATTCCAAACAAGAATTAATTGAGGTGATTCTGGTTAATGTTTTCACCAGTTCTCAACCAGTCTACAAGAAGAGTTCATTTCCTTTTAAATTTAAGTGTTTTTTGTTTTTTTTTTTTGAAGTCCACATTTCGCATGCGTGTAGTTTTAAAAGACAAACAATTACACAAGGCTGAAGAATACACTACTCAAGTTTTTGTTTGTTTTGTTTTATCATTTTGAGCATAGTGGCTTCCCAGGAAAGGGTAAGATGGTAAAGAAAAAAGATGTGAGTACTTGCACATCAAAACATTTCTGTCAGGCGCAGTGGCTCATACCTGTAATCCCAGCACTTTGGGAGGCCAAGGCGAAAGGATTGCTTGAGTCCAGGAGTTTGAGACCAGTCTGGGAAACATAGAGAAACCTAGTTTCTACAAAAAGTAAAAAAAAAAAAAAAAAAAAAAAATGAGCTCGGCATGGTGGCGCACACCTGTAGTCCTAGCTACGTGGGAGGCTGAGGCAGAAGGATCACCTGAGCCCAGGAGGTTGAGGCTGCAGTGAGTCATGATCGTGCACTGTACTCCAGCCTGGGCGACAGAGTGAGACTTCAACTCTAAAAAACAAAAGGAAACAAACAAAACATTTCTAAAATTTTTGTTTGTTTGAGTTGGAGTCTTACTCTGTCACCCAGGCTGGAGTACAGTGGCATGTTCATGGCCACCACAGCCTCAACCTGCTGAGCTTAGGTGATCCTTCTGCCTCAGCCTTTCAAGTAACTGGAAACACAGGTGTGAGCCACCACACCCGGCTAATTTTTTGATTTATTGTAGAGATGAGGTCTTGCCATGTTGCTCAGGCTGGTCTTGAACCCCTGAGTTCAGGCAATCCTCTCGCCTCCACCTCCCAAAGTGATGGGATTACAGGCATGAGCCACTGCGCTTGACTAAAAATGTTTTAAATTCTACTCTTATTGATACCTAAGTGATAATTTAGTAGGACATAGGATTTTATGTTGCATATTATTTTTCTTCAGAATTCTGAAGGCATGACCCTATCACTTTGGCGATAGTAATGGCCAAAAATTCAACTTCCAGTGTTGCAAGAAGCATACCTGATACTATTCTAGTGTCTTATCTTTTTATATGACTATTCCCCCCCCCCCCCCGTTTCTCTTCTAGAAGCTTTTATAAAATTTTCAACCTCTGGTTTCAGCTTCGATATATAAAGAGCCTGGAAGTCAACACTTCCATCCTTACATCTAGAAAGAACCTGAACAAACTAAAAATCAATGAATTTTCTTTGGCCCAGCAGATAATTGAAGT